CCGACCTCACTCACAGTATTCTGATTTTTTGTTGTTCCAATTAGCTATTGTAATATTACCTGCTTTATTACTGATTTATCTGTTTCCTTTCTATTTCTCTATTAGTCTAGCTAATGGTTTGTCAATATTGTTTATCTTCTCTTAAAAATTTTTTTGTTTAGTTCTTTCATTCTCTATTTCATTTGTCTCAGCTCTGATCTTTATTATTTATTTTCTTTGAGTATTTTGTTGTTACTTTTCCAGTTCCTTGAGGTGCGTAGTTAGGTAATTTATTTGTCACCTTTCTATTTTCTCTTGTGAGCTCTATTGCTATAAACTACCTTATGACTGTTCCAAAGATTATGGAAAATCATGCATTGGTTATCAATGGTTTCAATAACTCTTTTGATTTTTGTCTACATAGGTATTTATCATTAAGGTGTGTTTCTTGTAAGCAACATATAGAAGGTCCATTTTTTTCTTCCCACTCAGCAAATTTGTACATTTTAATTGAGGAATTTATATGTGTGAACTTGTTCCTATCATTTTGTTAGGCATTATTAATTTGTTTTGTGTTCTCTTATTTCTATTGATATCCCTTTCATTTTCCTGATATAGTATTCCCTTAAGTATTTCCTGAAGAATTGGTCCTTCATTTTTAGATAAACGAAGGTGAATTCTCTTAGCTTTTGTTTACCTAGGAATGGTTTATTTCTCATTTTTATTTAAAGGATAATCTTCCTGGGTGTAGTATTCTTGTCTGAATTTTTTTTCTTTCAGAGTGTTAAGTATGTCTTCCTATTCTTTCCTTGCTTGTATTGTTTCAGTTGAGAGGTCTTATGTTAGTCTAATGGGATAACCTTTGGTGTTTATCTCTCTCTTCACATTCTTTAGAATATTGTCATTGTTTTTGACTTTTACCAATTTGGCTATGATGTACCTTGGAAAGGATCTTCTAATTTTTAAAGAATTATTAATTTTATTTTATTATTATTATTTAATTTGCATGTATGCTAGAGAGAGAGAGAGAGAGAGAGAGAGAGAGAGAGGAAAGCCACCAGGTTTTGGACTTGAACCACAGTTAGCTATGTGGGAATCCAGTGCCTTACCTGCCATGCCAGTTGCTGGCTCTGGGGCTCTGGAAAGGATCTTTTTAAGTTGAATCTATTCAGAGTTCTTTCCATTTCCTGGATCTGGATATCTCTCTGTCTTCTAAATTTGCAAAGCGTTAGAGTATTTCATGAAAGAGATTTTCTATGCCTTTACTCATCTCTTTGCTTTCTGGAATACTTACTACACACATATTTGGCTACTTAATGATGTCCAGAATTTCTTGTATGTTGTTCTCTCTTTTTAAATTTTCAGTTTTTGCCATAGATCATGTGTGCTTGCTGGAGACACAGAAAGAGATATGGAGTGTGGGAAAGTGAGAAATCATTCCCCCCAGGGGATGGCCACACTGCAATCCCCTTTTTTAGGATTCTGGGCATGCATGCACACACATCCAGCATAATTCTCAAGCTGCTGGGTCTGGGCCTGTTTCCTACATGTTTCAGCCATGTAGAAATCCATTGTCTTAACTACCATGCCACCTGCTGGCCCCCGCTGTCTTATTTTTAATGGTTATTTTTCCATTCTTTTTGGTGGCTTGGACCAAATCAGAGGTTTTATTTCCAAGATAAGAGCCTTTCTTCTGCATCATCTAATTTACTGTTAATACTTTTAAGAAGATGCTTGATTTAAGGGGTTCAATTGATCCAATTTAACTTGAAGACAGAAGTATGTGCATTGCAAGAGGAGGCTGAAGAGTTGCCTGCTGGGGCACAGATGGTTTCTTGTGTTTGGAATATGGGGCCAATCAGAGACTATTTCATGTTTGAAGGGACTTGAGGGATTTTCATTTTGGGTTTCTGTCCACATTTATGTTGAGTGCTGCTTGCTGGTGCTTCTATCAACTCTTCCTTTGTGATAATGAAATGAGAGGTAGTTCTTTGAAGATCTGACATATGGCAGAATTTAGCGGGTTATTGAGACTCTGGTGATTTCTTGCCTTGGGGGTGTCCTTGCTGGGCACACTCATATCTAGTCTTGGAAAGACAAGGAAGGCAAATTGGTTTGTGCTGGGTGATAGTGGTGTGACATTTTGTGGGCATTCTTTAGTATGTAGGGGACTGGGTGCTGTGTTTGTGGTCTCTGACATCTCTAATGTTAGAGGAATATGGGGTATCACTTAAGGCTTCCATCATCTGATGGAACCTCATGATGATGGGGGATAACTGGGAAGTCTGAATCTTAGGCACTTGTTGTTTCTGGCATTGAGGGCATGGAGATCACTGCCTGGATCTATTTCAAATGTTGGAAAGGTAACTGGATGGAGGTCTCATTTTCTGTAGTTTAGGGGGAGTCTGGTAGAGGCTTTTGCATGGGGCTCCACTTAACTCTAGTTAGTGGGACTAGAGGGATCTCTATAGATAGCCTCCATAATATTTCATCTAAAGTTGGGAGGGGAAGAAGTAGTCACCATCTGGGTCTTATCTACATTGTTGGTACAGACTAGCTGGCTCACCAAGCTTAGGGTGCCTAACCTGTAGTGTCGAGAAGCAGCCAAAGGAGTCATTTATAGGTCTACTATCATTTCTATTATTGGATATAACTGGTGGTCTTGCTAGGATTCTCAACATTTCTAGTTTTGAAGGAATGGAGGT